GGTTTAGGGATAAGGGTTTGGGCTCTCAGTGGAGAGCGGCAAGCAAACTCCATATGCATCGCCCTGCTGCAAAGCCTGGAAAATACCTCGTAATGAAGAATACAGCCCCTATGGAACCCTACCATAAAGGTGATCTAGGCAAGCTCCCATATACCCACCCTTCAACTACCCTCTATCCGGGCCAAAGTATCCACCATCAGGGGCCTTTAATCCCAATTAAGGGTGCCGGGAGGTGGTTCTCTTCAGAAACCCTAGGCCCTAAACCCCGGTAATTTCCAGGTGAGACACTAGCATGCGACCGCGAAGTGATTTCTCGCTGCATTACGGCTTGGTTCGGGTCGCTGGAAAGATTCGAGGAGCATGTTCGGAGCGAGGCGAGGGTGAATCAATGGGGCTTAGGATTCTGGATGTTCTGTACTTTTAACATAGAGAGGAAGAAGAGATGGGAACTGCTATGTTTCCCTTTTATTGTTTGGTATATCCTGGCCATTCCATGACCCTTGAACATGCTTGAATTACAGTTTAGTATGCAGACGGCTTTCAATTCATAGCCAGGTTCCTGCAGTTTTGAACCACCGGCTGACGTTCAACACTTTGAGCTATTGGCCCATCGTCCGAACAACCAGCCCGATCTTGTTTTTCAACTTTGACTTGTGGTGCAGCTATGTCGTTCGTGAAGGATGGTATTCGGGAGTTCCGGTGATGCTCAAACTCACCTTGGACTGGTTGATCATGATACCAACTCTGCTCTTGGTCCAGCTCCAGATTGTCATGAAGCTGCGGAAGCGCGGTGAAACAAAGCTGAAGCAAATCCTGCTCTCCTTCTGCATCACACTAGCGGGTGCTTTGCTGTTTATGTTCTATAGTGCCTTTGATATGATCGTGGACAAGCTCATCGAAGATGAGGTTTTTTCAAACGCGGTCAAAATATGTTTGCTGCTGCCATTTTCCTTGTTCCTTTGGCGCGGCAGATGTCCATCAAAGAGTGCATGATATCGCCGAAGCATGAAAACGATTGACCATGCGTGCTTCATGGTGCAGTAAAGTGGATGGAGGAAATCTTGCAACACTTGGGATTCACAGTCTACCGCAATTCCCAGGGTAAAATGTCTGCAGGGTTTCCTCCATCCACGTATGTATGGCTGTATGGCGGAGAATACGACAAGTAACACCTTCCCCAAGACCCCCTCACTTTAGGGACAGCAATCTTTGCAGGGACCACATGTTGCTTTCTTCGGTGCAGTAGTCCCCCCTGACTGAATTCCCAGCATTTAGAATCCCAAAGACTTCAGCGTTCAAGGTCCACAGATTTATAATCTAGCCGATTTTAGGGTTGGGGGTTTAGGACCTTGCATACTCAACCCCTAAACCACTGAATGTTTTAAGCGTTAAGATTTATGGTAAGATCCAGAACCTGGAGGCTCCTATGTGGCCTTAGCTGTATTGCAGCTAAGGGATTGTAAAACAAGCGGCCATATGATTTTACGTAGGACGGCATACGCTTTCCGTGTTCTAACATAGTCTAAGGTCGTTGACAGCAGCCCAGGTTTTGGGCTCTCATTGTGGTTTCCTGCGGAACCAACTCGTTGAAAGAGAGCTGCTGAAGATAACACCGTCGCCAAATGCCCTAGACCCAGTCATTCTTGCCCCCGACCCGAAGCCCAAAACCATCACTCCTTGATTCTACCTCTTCCTCTTCGGGGTTCTTATATAAACCCTAGACCTCTGAACCGTAAACCCAGAACCCTAAA